AATGAGACTAAGAATTTTTTGTCTTCTAAATTTGAAATGAAAGATCTTGGAGAAGCAGATGTGATTTTAGGGGTTAAAATCAAAAGAACTTCTGATGGTTTTTCATCGTCTCAGTCTCATTATATTGAGAAAATGTTGAAAAGGTTCAATTGTTTTGATGTAGCACCTGTGAGAACTCCTTATCATCCTAGCATACACTTGAAAAAGAATAAGGAATCTAGTATTTCTCAAATTGAGTATGCTAAGATAATTGCTAGTGTAATATTTCTCATGAATTATGCACGACCTGATATTGATTTTGCTGTTAGTAGATTGAGTAGATATACTCACAACCCTAGTAGTGAACACTAGATTGCTCTTCATCGTTTGCTAAGGTATTTGAGAGGTATTATGGATTGGTGTTTGCATTTTAATAAATTTCCTGCTGTTTTAGAAGAATTCTGTGATGCAAACTGGGTTACTAACAATGATGAAGTCAGCTCTACTAGTGGCTATGTGTTTACTTTGGGTGCAGGTGCTATTTCATAGAAGTCTTCAAAACAGACTTGTATAGCACGATCTACTATGGAGTTTGAATTCATTGCTCTTCAGTTGGCAGGGCAAGAAGCCGAGTGGTTAAGAAACTTATTGGCAGACGTGCATTTGCGGGGAAGACAAGCTTCACCAGTTTCTCTACATTGTGACTCACAGGCGACAATTGGAATTGCCAAAAATAGTGTGTACAATTGAAAAAGAAGACATATCCGCATTAGGCATGGCGCGGTAAAACAGTTATTGAAACATGGTGTTGTTTCCTTGGAATATGTAAGATCCAAAAGAAATTTGGCGGATCCTTTAACCAAGGGTTTGGCAAGGAGAGTTATCCTTGAAACGTCGATGGGGATGGGGTTAAAGCCCATGGATTGAGGAAGTATGGTGGATACCCGTTTGTGGTCAAACGAAGCCATATGAGACCTCAATATGCACTACATTTCCTATCCCTATGACATGTGGTAGTGCTTTATAAGGTGGAGCTTACTTTGCTCTTAATGATTCCATAGCCTTAAGGTAGTCTATGTGTAGATAGACTTGATGGAATCACCTATGTAAGTGTAAAGGTGCGTCGCCTTTTATGAAAGACTTGGGATGTCTTTCTAGAGCACTCATGAGACCCAAGGTATGTGCATGACCATAAAAGCACTTTGTCAGTGTGACGACCCGACCCGTCGTCTCATGAGTTACCACTCCGTTTCCCCCATTTTATGCTTCTTCATGTTTCGTTATCAGTATGTGGTGTGTTAGAATTGATTTGGATTAGTTTTGATAAGAAATGAGACACTTAGTCTCTTTAAGGAGGGCTTAAGTTGGAAAAGTCGATCGAATGTCGACTATTGAGTTAGAGGGCACGGATGTGATTTCCGGTGATTCGGTTAGCTTCGGGGGATGATTTGTGACTTAGGAGTGCGATCGGAATTGATTTTGGAGGTCCAGTGTAGAATTAGGCTTGAATTGGCGAAATTAGTATTTTGGCGAATTCCGGTTGATAGGTGAGATTTTGATCCGAGGGTCGGAATGGAATTTCGAGAGTTGCTGTAGCTTCGAAATGTGATTTTTGATGTGTGTGCAAAATTTCAGGTCATTCGGACGTCGTATGGTTGGGTTTTTGATCAAATGCGTATTTCGGAAGTTTTGAAGAAACTTAGGCTTGAATTCGATGCGATTTAATGGTGTTAGCGTTGTTTGATATGTTTTGAAGATTGGAACAAGTTTGAATAATATTTTAGGATGTGTTGGTGCTTTTGGTTGAGGTCCTGGGGGCCTCGGGGTGATTTCGGGTGGTCAATCGGACCATTTTTGGACTTAAAATTTGCAGGTTTCAGCTGTTGGTGTTGCAAAAAAATATTGTTCATCGTGTTCGCGTGGGTGAGTCGCGAACGCGTAGAGGAAATTTGAGGGAGTTTGGCCTTCGCGTTCGCGTCAGGGGGCCTCGCGATCGCGTAGGAGAAGCTGGTGAACCATCGCGTTCGCGTAAGTGAAGGACCCAGGCCTTCGCGTTCGCGTGGATGAAGCCGCGTTCGCGAAGGGCATTTTTGGCAGAGTGATAATTTGGTCATCGCAAACGCGGGAGGACCCTCGCGTTCGCGTAGAGTAAAATACCTGGTCAGAAGTGGGTTTTAATCCCCTCGCGAAATTTTACATAAACATATTTTTAACTTCGGACTTGGGGTGTTCTTGAGCGATTTTGAAGAGGAAATTCAAGGACTTCGATCAGGTAAGCATTCTCGGACTTAGAACACAATTTTATCATGCAAATACATGAAATTACACTGCAAACTCAAGGAATTAAGGTCAAAAATGGTGATTTAGGGCTTGAAACCTAAGAGAACAAAAAGGGGAATTTGAGGGGTCATTTGGACGCCGATTTTGGTATTCTTTATATGCATGGACTCGTGGCGAGATAAGGAATCCGGTGATGTGAATTTTATAATTTTTCGAGAAGTGGGCCCGGGGCTCGGGTTTTGCCAACTTCGTGATTTTCGATGTTTTTCGAGTCTTTTCGATTGGGTTATATTCCCTTGGCATATTGTGACGTATTCGTTGTGGTTTTGGTCAGATTCGACGCACGAGGAGGTGAATTCGAAAGGCAAGGGCATAGCAAGCTAGGACTTTGGCCAGCTTGAGGTTAGTAATAAATGTAAATGCTGCATTGAGGGTTTGAAACCCCGAATTTGCACAACATAGTGCTATGTGAGGTGACTTGCACGCCGGATAACGGGCGTGGGGTAGAGCACCGTCAGGGATTGTGACTTGGTCCGTCCCGCTTAATAAAATTGATACCTATTTGATTGTAGATTTGTAATATCCTTATAAAAATGGATTAATAATTGGGCTTCGTGCCAACTAGTTGAATCCTTTAGGGATTATTTTACTGGTTTCTTACCATATTTCTAGATATTGAACTCAGTCCCGGTATTTAACACTGTTTTGTGTGTAAACTCAGCCATTTTTCTAAAAGTAGAAACTAAAGTAATATTTTTAAATGAAGTTTGGGCTGAATATTTTTATATTATTGTGCCGAAAGGCTTATGTGATTTTGGACTGAGTATGGGATCGGACTGCACGCCGCAGTGGTATAATAATGATCTTGATATGAGGCCAAGGGCCTGTCTGATGCCACGAGATGACTTATTATTGCGCTTGGGCCGTAAGGGGCCCCTCTCGGAGTCTGCACACCCCCAGTGAGCGCCGTCGACGTTAAATAAATGGAGCGGGCTGCACGGCCGCAGCGGGGTACTGGAGGTACCGGTTTATGTGTTGCATTGCATACTTGATTGCCATTTACTTATTTATCTGTTGTGATATTTCTATAATTGTTTTCATTGTTTTATTGAGTGGATATTATTTAGATTGAGCTGTTGTAATTATAGCTTACTCTGTGCCTGTCCAGGATTTCTTACTCTCAACCCTTATTTATGTTTATTACTTTCTGGGTTGGAAGTACTCACAATACTCCCTGCACCTTGTGTGCAGATCCAGGTACACCACAGGGTGAGTGAGGATTTGTTAGCTGAGCAGCACGATCTGGGAGTCTCGAGGTAGCTGCATGGCGTTCGCAGCCTTGATCTCTCCCATCTATCTTTATCCTTTTATTCGCATTTTCTTTCCTAGACAGATTTGTGATTAGGTGAATATTCTGTATTAGAGGCTCATGTTCGTGACACCAGATTCTGTGGGCTATTTAGTATTTTATTTTGGGGTTTTCGAATGTTAGAGATTATATCAGAATTTCCGCACTAAATTGGTATTATGGTAGTGAACATTTATCTATTTATTTAGATTATTTGGCTAAGGTTGCGTAAATGGTCGGGCTTGCCTAGCAAGGTGTTGGGCGCCATCACGACCGGGGTTTGGGTCGTGACAGTTAGTATCGTGGAGTTCGCATAAAATTAAGGATATAGTATATGTTGTGGGAGTCTCAACTAATGTCCATTCAGTTCTAGAGTACTTCACTTTGTGGATGTTAGTTGTTGCCTCATTTCACTACGTGTCAATTCAAATCGAAAGATATTGACACTTAAGTACAAGTTCCTTCTTTTGCCCAGAATTATTCTATTTTTGTCTTTGCATTAGTGGGGGATTGTTGGTATTATTTATAATATAAAGTCAAAAATTAATTTTTTAAAAATCACCAATAGCCATGGGTCTTTTTATTTTTCAAGTGTTCTATCTATTTCCAAGTGGCTTCTTGCATGAAGCCTTAAAGCCAAGTGTTGAATGGCTTTGACAAATGGCTATGCAAATCTATCATATGTCTTCATGCATGGAAGACTAGGTACACTTGTTAATATTGAAGCCAAGTGGACTAATATATTTAGACAGGTGTTAAAAGACTCTCCACACTTGTCATACATGCAACCTCCCTAATTGCCTATAAATAGGAAGATCATTAGCCATCATATTTACTCAATTCTTAACCAATAATTCATCTTGCTAATCATTATTTTCTTCCTACAATATTTTAATTTCTGTAACAGCTACAGAAAATACCTTCATCTTCTCTTCTTTCTGGGCAACTGTTTTGCGCAAATTCTAAACTTCCAGCCACGAGTGCACATGTTTGGAGGTGCTGTGGAACCTTGGGGAGCGACCGATCTTAACAATTTGCACCCAGTCGGGCCGAAATCGCTTTCAAGGCAGTGGCTTGCCACGACACGGTATTTTTTATAAATTGTTCTTTCCTTCTTGTTCTTAGTCAATATTATCTACTCATTTTTCTTACAGGAAGCGCTTCCCCCCGAATGGAACCCTACCTGGCGCGAATCCCGATATAGTCGGGCTCCAATGCAAACACCAGGTGGAAAACCAAAAAAAAATGTTAACATCGACTTACTTCAATTCTATTCCTCAAAAGATTCTCCCAAAAGTAAGTTTGACCCTTGCAAAAGCAACGTCTCATATTCTTTGGTATTAGAGGACTCACTGAGAACTTTAGTCCATTCAAAAGCACAAGTCCACAATCATCAAAACAAAGTAAACACTATTTCTCATCTTGCACCACTATACAAATGACTAAAGAGAAACCAACCAAAAAAAAAAGAAGTGGAAAAACCATTGCCTAAAACCAGATGAGTAGAATGCATTTATGGCCGGCAACAATGCAAAGAAAAGAATTCATCCCAAGAAAATATACTGATACTAGTACTGCTAAATCAAGCATTTGTTAATGACCTTGGTATGTGATAATGGATTGTAACCGGCTCTTCTCTCCTCGAATGAGTACTCAATATCATCAGCACAACCAGAAACATGAAGAGCGGCTGGGGTCATCGCAGTCTGCATTGCGATGGAAACTGTAGAAGGAGTTGCTGGCATTGGAATAGACATTGTTTTTGGGGTAATACATCCTTCAACAGCAGAGGCAATCTTGGTTGGAGTCATAACTGGAGTTTTGTTCGATGACATTGTTTCCTTGAGTCTGTCTTCAACAGCAGAGGCAACCTTGGTTGGAGTCATAACTGGAGTTCTGTTCAAAGACAATGTTTCCTTGAGTCTGTCTTCAACAGCAGAGCCAATCTTGGTTGGAGTCATAACCGGAGTTTTGTTCAAAGACGGTGTTTCCTTGACTTCCCCACTCTTTAAGGTCTGATTCTGAATATTAATGGTGCTAGCATTTGATGATAACATAGATGACAAGGGAGATAAAGGCTTCCTTGTCTGTGTTGATTCAGTTCTACGTGGATCTGGTAGGGGCTTCATCGTCTGTTTTGATTCAGTTCTAGGTGGATTTGATACCTTGCAGGATTGCTGCCTTTTTGGTGCCATGAAACTATCTCTCCTTCCTGCAACAACAAAATTAAAACTAGACAATTTAGATATCAATAATGCAGCCCAACCTAGAAGCCGCAAAAGGTCAATAAACATGTAATTATATAAACTAGTATTCTACAATTTTTTGTGGAAAGTAAATTTTGATATACTAGAGAATAAGATCACAAGCCTACCAGTTTGGTGAGAATTTTGGGGAGTTTGTTGTTTCAACGAGCTAGACAGTCTTCCGGAATGAGAGGATGCTGCAGCTTTACCAGCATATGGGGTTTGAAGCATTGCTCCTCCGAGCGAAAGTCTTTTATTGGTCAAACCTCCCATTGATGGTCTAAAATTCTTCTTTGCACTCTTTGAAGGACTAGGTATTGATCCAAAAAGTGCTTCTTGCTCCACCATCAACTGTCCCTGAAGCTTCTTCTGGTCCTTGAATAAGAAAAAGAACCTTATAAACAACTAATACATACAGCAGTTGTTTCATGTGTAATCAAATGGAAAATTCATACCCTCTGCCTCTGACGCTCAAGCTCCTTCTCCCGCTGTAGAGCACAATACTGCTCAACCATAGAAAGGAGTGCTACCTGGAAAGAGAAAGTAAGGGGTTAAGTAACAATAGAAGAGTGCAATCACCTACTTCCCAAAAGGTAAGGCAGCTACAGAATGTGGATGCAGGAATAGTCTTGCTTAATAAAGCTTTAACAAATTCGAGTTAGGTGCTTACACCATCATACAAGAACTCATGTCCCCTTTCTTTCTGCCAAGCACTAGCTCTCGATCTCAATGTCTCTACCATAGCTGCCACAAAGTCAATGTTAAGATTTCTTATCAAACAGATCAAGTTTGATTGGAACACTAAGAAGACATTTAACAATGTCGGTGATTTGTTTATGATAACCAATTATTGATTTGTATAACAAATTTTCAGAAACCACACAGATGAGTGCTCTTATTTTCTGGTATCTGTATGCTTAGAGCACACATGTAATGCAGTACGCTAACTCAAAGAAGAGTATCAAAAGCAAGAAAGATTATTCTATAAGAATAAAATCATTTTTTAATGACGGGAGATATGGGAACAGAAAATAGGTTCCATACCAGGGATTTTGTTGACAAGAACCCGAGCTTTCTCAGCTCGCTTCAGATTACGATGTGTACCTCTTCCACCATGGTAACGGTTTTCATCCTAAAATGAAACTTATTAGAAAAAGAAGTACGGTGCAGAATATACACGAAAGAGGTAAAAAAAAACCGGAATAACATCCAACCCTGTTATATTCCTCCAGCCAGCACTCCTCGTCGCATGCAGCCAACCACTTCTCAACCTTTTCAAGAATATCTCTCCTACTACAAGCTTCCTCTTTAACCTTGGAAATCTGGACCTCGAGTTTCTCAAGCAGATATGAAGGATCATTTGCCCCTACGAATGATAGCATTACAACTTTAGAGATTCAACAAACATCCAAGCATATTAAACCATAAATACATTTCTCCTAAGAAATCAATTTCTTTAGGCATACAAATAATCCAGAGATTACCGCAGAAATGATTCAGTTAGAAATTCATTTGGTTAGAAGTATCTGCGTGTAACCTTGATGTTCGTTTCATGACAGAAAACATTTACCAGATTCTATAGCGTCAACAGAAAAGTCAACTGAATGTTGAGTCTCAATAACCATATGTGCCTTCCTACAGATTTCCTCCAAATCCAGCCTCTTTCTCAGAAGAACCTCTTTCATTTTTGTTGATTTCATTTCCTGCAACCTCGACGCTTCGGCCTCTGCCTGCACAAGTAGTATAGAATCGCAATAATTTCATTACTGCAATAGATCTACTGCTATGAAAGCATCAGAACCAGCCAAGGGAGCATTCTAGTTCTGCTAGAAATTAACAGTATAAAATAAATTAATTGGAGATCATTTGGCATACATGTTGAAGACTGTCCACAGACAGAACGTTAGGCTCATTTATTTTATTTTCTGAAGCTGCTATGTGCCTTGTAAAATCATGAAATTGTTGTTGCTCCTCTAGCGGTGTATCCATCAAGTTCCACAGCTCTACGAGGGTAGTAGCAATATCTTGAAGCTAAGCAACAAGAAGATCAGCATTAGTAGCAGAGATCAATATACAACTTGGTTTAGAACAATTAAGCATTTATACTAACCCTAAGCAATCTCTGTTTCTTGAGCTCTTTCAATCTGCTGATTGTTGCGGACAACTTAACGATCATATCTTTGCTTATGTTTTTCGAGACACTGAAGTCGACCATGGTTGGATCAATCTCAGCAATAGTTTGTTTGTAATCAACCCCAAGCACCACACATAATGAATTGATAGTTGTCAAGTGGTCAAGCACCAGCTTCAGGCGGTCACTCTGAAAATGTTATACGAGATTCTGTTAGACAAATGGTAACTCTTGAAATTCTTTATAGCAGAGGAATATTTCCAACAGTATGAAGCTCTACAACATGAAAGTGGAATGATACTTCCCATTTGTTTTTTCTCTATTCTAAGCAGTTCTGAAGTGACAGTTTTACCATACTCGTTTTTGTAGAACTTGAAACTTGTTGCAACTTTTTTATTCAAAGCAGTACTCTCAGTGCTAAAACTGGCAGAGGTTGAAGACAAGGGAAGAGATAAACAACAACAACAACTACTACTACTACTACTATGCCTCAGTCCCAAACAAGTTGGGTCGGCTATATGAATCCCCACCTTTCTTTGAGCTCAACTCATATCATCGTGATATCAAAATAAAATAATATTATAAGACAAGGAAAGAGATGAAATAGAAAAGACCTTCTCTTTTTGCAAAGCATTCAAATAGTTCTGCATTTGTTCAAGTCTTCTGACAGACAAATCATTCTCATCAATGACACTCATTTGTGTATTCCCTTGGAAGTGTACACCGAGCTCTTTCGAGATACACTGTATCTGATCGACAACAGCTGCAAATTGGTCTATCCTCTCTCTTTTTCTCTTCTTCATCTCTTCTAACTTAGGCTTAATGGCCTTAAGCTCTTCATTCAAACTTCTGGAACTCTGCTATATAGGAGGCTAAATGTTAAAAAGGTTCTACAAAACCAAGCAAAAGACCTAATGTTTTACAGAATGCTTCAAAGAAGAGATTTATTGTTTTGTCTCTAACCTGCCTAGTATATGATGATTGTTCTCCTAGTGCTGCACATATCTTTGCAAGTTCTGCTTCAGAGTTAGCAACAGTTTGCTGCAGTTGAGCCCGAGAACGACTTGCCTGATTCACTTTTCTTTTATATATCTCTAAACACTCTTGTTGGAGTTCAAAAAGCATCTTATCTCTTTCGATCTCTGGCTCTCCCATCTCATCCCATATTCTCTGATCCAAAAAAAAAAAAGGTAGCATACAAAAAAGAGAACACTTTCACAATACATTAAAAGTCTTGCGTTTCGTAATATAACAACTGAAGAGCATATTTTGGAGCAAACCTGCATCTCAGACAGAAGAGAACCACAAGTTGTTTCCATATGCAAAGGCTTCTCACTTTGGCGGTTATGCATGTTGAAGCATTTACACCTTGGCAAAGAATTTGGAAAACTAGTCAGAGAAAGAGAATCGGATGCTAAAAGGACTGCGATTCAATGTAGATGAGCTACATAGGAAAGTCTCATGTAAATTTAGAAAAGAAATTTGAAGTATTTGCTGATTTAGCACTCTCCAACCTTAAAATGAAAACAAGTACTAATACTCCTAACAACTAAATGTGCAATCTTTTGTTCATTGTCACAAAAGTTGTGATGATCTTTTAGCACCTCCCGGACAGAATCCGTCAAATAAATTTTTGATATTTACTTTGTTAAGGAATAAAAGCATATAGTCAATCTAAATTTATCTGTACAATCAATCAACTACACCTCAATATTAAATTTTATAATTATAAATTTTAAAAGAGAAACTGCACATGTATAGTTTTGTTCCAAAATGTGAAAAAGATCAAGCTTCTAATGGATGCACATGTAAAATTACAAGAACGTCGAGTTAATTGCCATTGAAACTAAAACCCTATTGGGTATACTAAATTGTCTGATACTTATTTGCTCCATGAACAAATTATTATCTCTTCAAGAATATAAGACCAACTACTGTTAACGGGTGGAATTTTGTCGATAATCCCTTTTTCTTGTGAAATTGAGAACAAATTTTTGACTTGAAAATAGAAAAAGAGAAGAACTTTTCTGGTATGAATTTTTTCAAATCTTTAACTTCCACTCACAAATCTTCAAACTTTCACAAACTTTTTTCTTATAATCAAAACATGCACGGAATACCAAGTTCACCGTAGAGTCCACCGAACACAAAAACGTAAAATACAAAGAAACAGAAGAAAAGAAACCTTACTATAATCTTGATCACCAGTAATCAACAGAAAATTAGAAACTGGAACTCTTGGTGAAAATGGAAGAGACCCCCCAAGTGATAATGTGTGACGCTTGTTTTGATAATTTGGGAATTGAATTCTTGAATTTTGAGTGGGGGGAGGAGGGAAAGGAGGAGACGTTAGCTTTTGTAAAGCAAAACGTATGCGCTGAGAGAGCGCCTTTTTTGGCGTTGTGATCTTTATACCGCGCTCTGATCATTAAATCCCGACTTTGTTTTTTTTTTTGAATTTCAAAGTTGATTCCCGTTTAAATTCTATTTCTTCTTTCTTTAATCTTTTACTAGTATTAGTATCCGCCGGATGCGGGAACATTAATCATGTCAAATATTTAAGTTATTTGGATTGATGTAAATAATATTAAAATTTACAATTTCTCAGTAAATATAGATAATCATTGGATATTAACTACATGAAAAAGTTAACCATTTCTTCTATTTTTCTTTTTTGATACAATTCTTGCCGGTGTCATTGGATCCTAAAAATAGCCAGGAAGCAAAATAATAACTCATATTTATGGCAAAACAATCAAATGTTAAGACAATGAATGACTCTTTGGATAACACTTAACTCTTTTACTACTACTTGTACTCTTATTTGGTGTGTTGATATCTCTTAAAAAATATTTCTTTCTTAAAATTTCAGTTTCTAAAACATTATTTTTAAATAATAATTATTTTTGTAATAATGTAATTGAAAATATTAGTCTTAATTTAAAACTCATTTTAGTTGGCTATCTAAAAATATAAAAAGTTCTTTAGCTAGTGATTTTTTTTACTCCATTTTGATATTTGACATTAACCATGTTAAATATCTGAGTTATTTGATGTAAATAACCTTAACATTTAAACATTCTAAATAATTATAGATAATCGTCAGATATTAATTAAGAAACACTACATGAAAAAAGACTAACATTTTCTCAATTCTCGTAGTGATAATTTTATTTTTGCACTATTCTCATAGGTGTCATTGGAACCTAAAAATAGCCACAAAGTGAAATAATAACTCATATTTATGGCAAAGCACAAAGGCTGACACGATATAAACGATTTTTTGATTATGATGTGACTCTTATACTACGACTTGAACTCTTATTTGGTATGATTTTATCTTTCAAAAATATTTCTATTTTGATATTTCAATTTCTAAAACTTTATATATATAAATATATATTATAATAATGATTATCTTTATAATGATGCAAGTGAAGATATTATCCTTAATTTAAAATTTATTTTAATCGGCTATCTAAAAATTTAAATGATTCTTTGGCCGGATTTATTTCAGTATGACTCCACTTTAAGTTTATCGATATCTCTAGCCCCAGAATTTGAATTTTTAATACCCTATATATACAAAAATTTTGTTCTTTGAATCATTAAATGTTAAATTAGTTGATTATTATTATAAAACATTGCATATATTGTCTTAAAATTGTCAAGTAGTTTATTTTCGACACCATACTTGGCTTAACCTCAATGCAAACTACTCAAATTGCATTCCAATTCAAATTCGAATATCATATCAGTTTGTTAGTAATAGTAATTTTTTAAAAACGACACATAATGTAAATTAAAAAAAAATATTCTAAGATATCCTTATCTTATAATCTATGTATTTGAGTTGAAAAAAAATATTTGAAATCGATGAGATTAACTTTCAAAATTTTTATACTCAACAAAGATGAAACATAAGAAGAAATTTGTTGTCATCTTTTATTTCTCGTTTTTAGATCTTTCTAACATTTTTCTCAATATTTATTTTCTTTTATCTTATTTTTTATGTCATTATTTCTGTTGTTATAAAAAATTAATTTATTTCACTATAAAAGGATGAGTTTTAATAAAAATTGTCTACATATGAACTTTAATTATATTTTTAGTCTTTGGTTGAAATTATTTCATATTTTTCTTTTGGCTTTATCTAATCAGCCTAAATAGGTGCTCACCCGACCACTTAAATTAAAAAATTGAATGATGTGTAATTATGTATAATTCATACATAATATGTGTATAACCGCGTACTGTCAGTATATCATCTATTTATATTAGCTATAAAAAGTAAACAATAAATATGGCCGGATATTATGTAAATATTCCATAAGATTTCGGTTTTTTGAGTTTATCCATGATATAACTTCTATTATAATAATTTTAAAACTCTCTATAAATGTTCAAAAATATCTTATATTTTTATTATCTTTGAATTAAAAAAAAGGAAAGAGTTTTTTCGAAATAAGTTGTTTACATTTAAAAAAAAATATTTCATGTCATACCAATTTTTTCTTTATATATACTCTTTGTTACACTTAAAAGTCGCTATAGAAACTATCAACTAGAAACTAATTTATCTCTTGTTGAGTTTGAAAAAAAAATCTTTCACATAATCTAATGATTTAAAACTAATATTCTTCAACGAAAAAAATATTATACCCTTGCAATATTGGCTTAACTACAGCTAAATGAAGGGGTTTCAGCTTAAACCCTTCAATTCCTTGAATGTGCTAAATTGAAATTAATGATAGCAATTGTATAGCCAACGTTTTGTTATTTGTTTGATGTCTATTTATGCAAATTGACTCTTCAAACAAATATTTTTCAAGAAGAAAAAAGAAACAACTTTTTTTTGTTAATATTGACTGATTTTGTGATTGTCACGACCCGGATTTCCCACCCTCAGGAGTCGTGATGGCGCCTACTAATAGGATCTAGGCAAGCCAATTAACTATATACATTCTTAGGCAAACATCGACAATATTGAGACAACGAGACAATTAATATAAAAGCGGAAGTCTTAAACATAAATGAACTGAAAACAAGTGCGGAAATTCCAATACAACCTCTACCCAAGACTGGAGTCACTAACTCACGAACGTCTATATAATACTAAAAACAGAGTCTGAATAAAATACAATACTGTTTGTTCCGGTACAAGGACAACAAACGAACAACAAACGAAATAAGGATAGAAGAGACTCCGGGCCATGCGGACGTCAACAAGGCAACCTCGGAATCTCTGGACTGAAGTCAACTCCCAACGCTCCTGCTGCTGTCCAAAAGCTACTGCTCCGGCGCTGTGATCTGTGCAAAAAGATGCACAGAGTGTAGCATCAGCACAACCGACCCCATGTGCTGGTAAGTGCCTAGCCTAACCCCGACGAAGTAGTGACGAGGCTAGACCAGACTACCAGATAAACCTGTGCAGATATATATATATATATACAAGTACAACAAAATAATAGCGGAAAGTAAGCAATTAATGCTGGGAGGGGGAAACATGCTTATGGGGAAGCAGATAAAACAGAATTTCAGAAATAACAAAAGAAACTACATCTGATTTCTTCTAACACAGAATAAAGGAAAATAAACCACTTTCACTTATTTCAATTTCCCATCATTGCAGGCGTGCAACACGATCCCATTTCCTTACATCACGTGGTAGGCGTACCACACGCTCCCATTACAATAATATTACATGGTCAGCGTGCCACACGTTCCCATTTCATAATAACTCGTGGTCGGCGTGCCACACGATCCCATTTCATAATACCTCGTGGTCGGCGTGCCACACGATGCCATTTCTTTCAACACAATACACAACATAATCCCGGCAAGGGAGAAAGATATTATAATAACTATCCCGGCAAGGGAGCAATGTAATACAATAAACTATCCCGGCAAGGGAGATCCAGCTATAACCAAACTCATTCAATTTTTACTTAACACAATTAAATCCACACTTAGTCTCAACAATTACTGGCTCAGTGTTAAAGATTTCCAACCAAGTCCTCATAGGCAACAATTAAGAATTCGATAACTTAGCAATTTAGGACTCACGGCCATGCTCGACACCAGTGTGTAGATACTCGTCACCATGCCTATACACCGTACTCGACAAATAGCGATTAGGAAATATGACTCTACTCCTATTCCCTCAAGCCAAAGTTAGACCAAACACTTACCTCAAATGCTCCAAACTCAACTCAAGCCTCTAGTATAGCTTTACCCTTCGAATTCACCACCAAACCACTCGAATCTAGTCACAAATTACTTGAATGTATCAACAAATGCTAATCGAATCAATTTGAATGCATGAAAATGAATTTCCCAAAGTTTTACTCAAAAATTTCCAAAACGCCCCCAGGCCCACGTGGTCAAAACCCGAGGTTCGAACCAAAACCCGGTTACCCATGCCCCCCCGAATCCATACCTATGATTAGTTTTGAAATCGGACCTCAAATTGAGGTCCAAATCCCCAATTTTTAGAAAACCTAAGTTCTACCCAAAATCCCCATTTTCACCCATGGAAATCCTTGATTTTAAGATGAAAACATGATTAATGATGTTAAATATTGAAGAAATTAAGTAAAAGTTGACTTACAAATGATTTGGAGAAGATAGATTTCTTGGAAAATCGCCTATGGAGTTTGTGTTTTGAAAGAATGAAGAAAAGGGGTTAAAAATTCGTCTAAGTATGAAAAATGCAGGCCTCAGATGTGGGAATTGCAAACATGGGTTCGCAATTGCGAACCCAACAGGCTTGGGAAATGCGAGGAAGTAGTTCGCATTTGCGAACACTGGGCAAAGGGGGAAGTTTCGCATTTGCGAGCTGATACGTCGCATTTGCGACCAGCTCTAGTTCGCATTTGCGACCCAGATGGCCGCATTTGCGACCCAAGACGGAAATCCCCCTTTTCGCATTTGCGATCAGGGACNCGAAGACGCCCACCAAACGCGTCTCCAACGAGCGGAGGGACTAACTGTATAGGGTCAAATTTAACCCTATGTCTCTCTACGCCAGTGGGCGCGTCCAATGAGTGTACGCCGACCAACGTAGCGGGTACGACTCGGCCGCAAGGACAAAAGCGGCGTCGTTTAGAACTCAGCGTCTATACTAGAAAGACGTTACCTATCTCTGTAACTTTTTGATTCTTTCGAGGAAGGTATCCTATTATATAAAGGAGACGTCCACATTGTAAAAGGGGCATCTGATCTAATACAACTCTCTCACTTTCTATCTTTCTCTCTCTATATCTCTACTTCCGATCAATATATCTTATGAACATACATTGTCATCTTTCTAACACTGGATCTATAACAACATTATCATCTTTGCATCTCTAGGATTATTATATTTGATTACGATT